TTTTTTTTTAAGAATGATAGTTTAAAAAAGATTCAAAAAAAACGAGTCGAGCCGCTCGGCTCGGCTCGCTACAGTACGAGCTCGTTGGCCGAGCCGAGCTAGCCCACGAGCCGAGCACAAGCTTGGCTCGTTTTATAAAAAGCCACGAGCTCGAGCTCGTGGGCAACGAGCCGAGCCGGCTCGGCTCGTTTGCCACCGCTAGTTGGTGTCGAATGAAAATACCGAAACATTTGTATGACTTTTCAGGACTTGGCTTTAGTGTATGCATGGTCAAGCTCCTATGGGGATTATTACCGATCAAGACAAGGCCATGCAGAATGCCATTCAGATCGTGTTCCCTAACACGAAACACAGATGGTGTTTATGGCACATATTGAAGAAGTTGCTCGAGAAGTTTGGATACCACGTCGATAAGGGCAAGATATTTTCTGCTATACACGTATTGGCATATGATTCTCAAACTGTTGACGAGTTTGAAGAGGGTTAGAGAGCGATGATAGACAAATATGAGTTACATGATAATGACTGGTTGTCAGGAATGTTTACAAACATAAATCGATGGGTGCCTTGTTATTTAAAAACTAGCTTCCCCCGCCCTTCCCAAAGTGGCAAACTGAGAGAGTTGAAGAGAAGGGTGAAAGGTTTGGGGTCGCCTCCAAGGGTTCGCCGTTTGAGAGAGAAGGGTGTGGGTGAGAGATGAAGTCAAAAGAAAGGAAAATGGTTGCGTAATTGGGCCGGGTCAAAATTCTTCATTTTATTTTCAAAATTCATGCCACGTAACCGTGTAAAGGAGCATGTCAACGGGCAAGTACCCATAGCGCGATTGCTTTTCCATTCTTCCATGGATGTCAAACTTGAACTTTCAAGTTGTCGTAAATAAATATCCGCCCCAAAGGTCGAGTCGAAGGGGATGCAGTAGTGGCTTTAGGAGGGATGTCTGCAGTTTGCAGCTATTGTATATAATTAGGCTCTAAGAGCATATTCAATAGTAGTGTAAAATTGAGTGTAAATTGATATTTTCGAAATTATTTTTGTATCCTCATTTATTTTTCGATGGATTTAAATTCAAGTTTTGCTCCTATGAAAATATCTAAATTCATTTTTTTTGCTTCATGTACACAAAAAAGATGTAGCATTTCATGTCGAAAAATGCAATTTGCATTTCTTTTGCATCTCTTCATTAAAGAGGTTTCCGTCCACTTTGGAGATCTAAATCACAATTTTAATTTATTTTACTCCACGATTGGAGATGAAGATGTCTGATTGCGAAGTTTAGAGTATTTTATTTGCATCTTGGTTACCATGCATGAAATTTTCGTCTAGCCTTTATGCCTGAAATGGTTGAGGTTTCAATTTATAATTGTCAAATTTGCAATGTCAATGAAATCCTCCCAGAAGTGCAAAGCAATATAGTATTTTTAATATTTAAAGTTTAGTTATTATTGATATTAATAAAAGGATTTATTCATCATCTCAAATTGCTTTATCCCGAAGTCCTCTTTATGTAATGTGCATTTGATTTTTTTCTTCGGACCATGCTACATGCACTAATAGGTTACTACATGGATGACTACATGGCCGATACTTGTCAATGTAGTCATCCATGTAGTAAGGCTTGAAGTACATGTAGATTAATCCTTTTTCTTCCCCGTAAAAGAACACTGTAATTACGTAGAGGCAAGGCCTGACCAGTCGTACAACATAATTTTTTTTTTTCTTAATAAAGAATATATAAAAGATCTCATCGTACAAATGAAATTATACGAGGAACTTAAAAATAAATCTTGAAAATAAGTGACTAAATTACAACATAATACAATTGTAGAACAAAAATAAATCAATAAATAAAAGGTTCTAGTAAGGACTATGCCGACTTTTACTTCGGGTTTTTAGTGATTTTGAAATCAATGTGCTTGATATCCATGAACGGTTCATATCTGTAGATTCATCTGATGACCAGCAACACAAGCGGCCATCTTCACCACCCGTCCAACCGAATATGGCCTGGCTATGCATGGTTCTACCGGGTATGCTGGACACGGGAACCACACTCCTAACAACCCCTGCATGACCACCTTCAAAAACAGCTTCTGGAGATCCAATTGCTTTCGCGTTTCTGTAATTTACGGGGAAGTATCCAAAGGTGCCGGCATTTGTGCCACCAATAGCCCATAGATGATCCTCCTCTTCTGAGTAGTGACAATCGACAAAATAATCGACCTATCATCGCCAAAAGACAGGCTTAATGCATAATCCAATCTAAAAGCTCAAGTTTTTTTAAATTTTACATGCCTCTCCCCCCAAGATGCCAGAACACACAACGCGATCAAACAGTATAATAAATCAAAACACGCATTAATCGTCGTTCAGAAACGGAGTTTGAAATATAAGCTCAAGAGGCTGGCAACTAAAGTGAAGAGGGATCCTATCATGTTTGTTGTCATCATGAAAGGGGCATTAGCCACATTATTGTAAACCATCAGCTGTTTTGCAGAACATTTAAAAAAGTAATATGACTATTGTGATCGTTATGTAAAAAATGACATAAGAAATGTACACATGTAATTTGATACTTTCAAAAATTAACATGCCACAATAATGGTAAATTTCACATACATGATCCAATGTCCAGCTATCAGAGGCCAACGTGCGTGCGTCCTCAAAGTTGGCTACATTTCTTCCATCATTCCAGTCCCAAACACTAACAGGAAGCAGATTAGAAAGTAATCATAAGGTGTATATGTGAACCGACATAACAAAAAGAAAGAGCATCACAGGAATGTAAGAAATGTCGCTACAGTGCATGGGTTGTGTTTCTGTCATGAAGATACAATTCAAGATTGCAATAATGCACTGATTGCTCAAACATACCTTAAGGTTTCAATATGAGTCAAACACCAGAGTTTTTGATTTATCTCACCAAGGAATCCAATTTTTCCAATTGAAGTTCCCACATTGAGTACCTTTTTAATGTAACAGTGCATTACACCAAGAAAAACATATCAATGAAACGATCAAACAACAAAAAGAATAAACAATAGCTTGGTGTATTATAGATAATTTTATTAGCATGGACATAAATACAAGATGGGAACCACAGAAAATCTTCCTACATACCGACACCAAATGATCGTCGTCGTTTATGTTTCCACTGGTATCAAACAGACACATTAATCCATCAACAGATGCAGAAATAAGCTTGTTTTGATGGCCAGGGATAAAGCGGACCTATAAACAATCATAGATCACAAATGAGATATCATAATAGATTTCTATTAAGAAACTCTACATAAATTGACATGCAGCTTCCTAGACAATCCCTTTCAACTGCAAGAAAACTATATATATAGATGCTGCATGATAAATAGATCGTAGGTCACAGTTGAAATGTAAAAATAGCGTCATATATATGCAAGGCAGGATGACATGTATGGTAGTGGCAGCCTTCAATTTCCTTTTCTTTTTATAAATAACTCCCTTTACTTATTATTTTACCCAACTATAAGGTACCAGCTGAGAAGTACTGAACCTTGGAGCATGCCCATCTTCATTCCGCATCAACTTTGAACAAAGATATCAAAACCACAAATTCACGTGACTCGGAATGGGTCAATCTTAATTTCAAAATCAAAATGATTCAGGAATCTGACTCTAATAAGCAGGCAGAATAGGCATCAGTTTTTACAGAGGACGATTCTTCTCTAGTAATGGTCCATGTAAAAAGATTGTTTGGAAGGCTAATGAAGAGAAACATAATTCTTTTTCCTGAGCTTCTACACAACAGAGAAACTGTAGTCATCAGAACATACCTGAGTAACATCATCCATATGAGATTCCTCCAACACGGCAACCTGCTTCTTTGTCCTCCAATCCCAGAAAAAAATCTGAACAGCAATATATTTAAAAACTGCATGAGTATGTGTAGCACCTAGAGGAATATTGATTAGTATGGAGCACTTATCCTAATTCCTTTCAACGGGCAACCTATACCTTTGAAAACGTGATTATGAACTAATTACCTCATTCTCTGTCAGTATAATAATGATTAATAAGATCCAAGTAGTGGAGTTACGAAAAATGAGAGTAGAATCATAGCTAGGGGTGCATGTGCATGAGGTATTATATTTCATGTTTCCACTTCTAAAATTCAATTAAACAAGACAATCTCTTTCGAGAGAATTTCATGCCCAGTAAAATAAACTTCATATAATTAATTTAACAGTGAAAATTCTCCATCTGTTAAAAAATAATATTACCTGAGAGTTACACCCTGCGGTGAGAAGATTGTTGTCAGCTCCACCGAATGAGAAGCTGAACACCTCTTGTGAAGAACCTGCGCTTATAGACAAGACCTGCATTGCAACTATAATTTTACTCCACATATAAAGAAAATAAATGTACAAACATAAAAATACACATAGATGTACTATTGTAATTGTGTGCATACCTGTTGGAAAGACCGGGTGTCCCAAGCTCTGATAGTACCATCAGAAGATGAAGAGTACAATACATGCGGAGTCGATGGACCAGTGAAGGAAATTTCATTGATCACAGAAGAATGACCTTTAAACTCCCCTAGGTACTGCCCAGTATGCGGTGAGTATAATTTCACCGCGTTTGTCGAAAGGGACACCGCCATGGCCGTCCAATCATCCCTTGACATTGCAATTATACATAATAACAATTTAAGAAAAAAACACAATGTAAATTCTTATATCTTAAAGAAAACATTGAAAAAAAATAATACTTGGGAACGATTTGAAAAACATAATCGTCGCCGAAATTCGTCTGAATAGAGTTTTTGAGACCGAAACGCTTGAAAGTATTGCAATCGGGGATTGATTTCCCTTCTTCTACTTCCATATCTTCACAAATCTCCATTTTCTTGCTCTATTTTGTTCTGTATTTCTTCTGCCAGCAGTTTGCGGGAGACGAAAGCTGAAGCTAATTAGGGTTTAGGGTTGGGGTTTTTCTCCAGTAACTATTGCCACATCAGCATTTATTTATTTATTTTATTTTGTGTAAAAGAATTTCATTCGTGCTTGGTAATTAGCCTTTTTATATTATTGTGAACGAATTATGGTTAAAAAGGTTTTCACTATTGAAAGCACTTGTTACGCAGATTTTAAATGGGATGAGTTGAGCTACTCAGTTCGTCTACTCTTGAGCTCGATTCAATTAGTTGCGAGTTAGCTCACCTCAAGAAAATTGGATTTGGCTTGCCTATTGGAGGGCTAGTCGAATGGCTCGCGGTTCATTTATTTCTTTAGTTGAAAATTACATTTTATAGTTAAAATATGAGATGTTTAAGACAAGCAGACTCACACAAATGATTCGCTGCTCGACTTACTGCCCCACTTTACTAGGGTTGCTAGACAAGTTAAACATGTTTTGAATAGTTTTTATCGTCTAAGATTGATTGTGCAAAAATGATCGAAAGTTAAGGATTGTCTTAGCTTATGCTTAGGTCATGTTTATAAATTATTAATACACTCAAACCACATGTTATATATAAATTTTGAGGGATTCATGAATATTATTCATTTATTCACTACACTTTTAATTGTTTATAATTTAAATACTTTATAAACACTTCCATCCCGAACATACTTTTACTCTTTTTCAGGATTGGAGATCAATTAATATATATATTCATACTATATTAAAAGAGTGAATCCGTCGATTACTGTTCATTTCTGAAGCTTTTTTTAAATCATTATTCATCCCTATCCGTCCTCTACTATTCACATAATGCTTAAGGATAATTTGGACTTCTTCTTACCATGCCCACAATTGTTGACTTTATTGCTCCTAAAGAGGAAAAAATGGTGAAGACAATACTCCGTGCCGTGCAGAGCGAAGTGACTCCGCACACACTCCGCACAATGCGGAGTCACACTCCGCTGTGAAGAAAAGTGAGAAGGAAAAAAAAAAAAAACTCCACACAATGCAGAATGTGAAGAACAGTGTGAAGGAAGGAAGTTATATAAAAATAAATAAATAAATCCTCCGCACAGCACAGAGTGTGGTGTCTGTGTTGTGCGGACACCAGGCGTTGGTGGTCACACACCGTGGACACCAGATGCCTCGTGTGCGGACACCAACACACACCCCAGACACCAAAAGCCATTTTTTTTTTTTACAATTATTGTTAGTATCAGTTTTAAATTGTTTTCTTGTTAATAATGTTGTTCGATGTGTAACTAATCTATTTTTTCAAACAAGTTTAGCGTACCATATAATTATATTTTTCACCAATAAAAAATGTGTTTTTATCGACTACCAATAATGTCAAAAATAGAAATTAGAGAGATGCATGAAATTGTTTTAATCATATCAAGTCTAACGCATTAAATTTTGCAAATAGGGCAAAAATAAGATTAATGAGCTATTTGTCATTCTGTCACTTTTTGATTAAAATTGATAAAATGTGTAGTTGATAAAAATTGTGAGTATATAAATGTATAATTAAAATTAAAATTTGATCAGTTTAGAAGTAAACAAAATTTTATCAAATAAAAGCAATGAAATTATTGTATCCTTACCTGTCAAAAATCTCCAAATTCAAAAATGGTTCAAGCAACTCTTCTGCTTCATATTTTAGTGCGCGTTATAAAACCCTCAAAACGAAAAATAATAATTTATATGATTAGAAAATAGAAACTGTCTCCCTAATTTACATTCCTATAATCTACTTAATAATATTATTAATTTTTATATTTACGAAGCTAAACCATTATCATTTTCAATCAAGATTCATCCATTTACCAGATTATAGATGTTATTTCTAGAATGAAAATCTATTCAAACAATTTGTAATACTTACGTTTTCAAATTATCAAAACAGAAACGAAATTTGAATCATGAACAAAATGATCAACGAGCTCAAAACAAAAACATACAATCAACATGATTGAAAACAGGATCAGAAATTAATTCGAGTCCATCAAAATTATTGTACCTTGTTTGACTGTATCATGTCGATTCTATTTTATTTTAGTTGTCTCAATCATGAACATGAAAAAAAA